GTTGCTAATCAGCCCAAGATAAATTATAACTGAGCTTTTATAAAAGAAGCAACTTTTTTTTTCCAAGGTCTGAGTGTTGAACAACAGCTATCTAATCTCGCAAAGGCACTTTTAAATTTTAGCTATGTACACATGGTAAAAGAACTACTAATTATTTTTTTAATTGCAATTAAACTTTTAGAACATAAAGTCTATGTTTTCAAGGTCTCTTCAATGGTAAAGCAATCTTGATTAATTATTCATATTTCTCTGTGAAACCTGTGGATACTTTAACTTCATAATGAGTTTGCAACGAGTAAAATTGCCAGCTTCAAAAATGATAAATATTTTACAAACTCTTCTTTAAACTCTCTAACTCAGAGGATAAATTGGCATTACAGTCTAATATTTGCATAATCTTAATACTTCGTCATATTGTTACTTGACATTTCTGAAAAACCTAGAGAAAGATCAAGGCAGTAAGATTCAGCAGTGCTATGTAATTTGTACACATCGAAATGCTACACAATTCCATTGTCGGCACATTTGAGGTGATTTGCTTAGAAGAATGATGTGAAGGAGTGGGATAATGCTAATATATGGCTCATTTTTCACAGCAAAATAATTTATTAGTTTTTGATTCTTGGCCCATCAACTCTTCAGCTGGCATTCTTTTCACAAAAAATTAGCTCTACTAGTCAGCATGCTCAGGTGCCAGTCTTTTCATGCTAGTCTGTTATTAAGTCACTGAAAGGTACCAGTGTTGTTGTGTGAGCTAACTCATAAATTACAAAAGGATTATTTGCTGGTCAAATAAATGACAAAACTTCCTCAGCATGCACAAACATAAGCAAATATAATCCAGTACCAAATACCAACCTTGTACTTCCATTGTATTTATGAAACTTTTCATTTCCCAGAGGCTGAATTTCAGGAACCAGTAAATTGAACAGAAATTAATAGTTTACACTGGTCTCTGAATTCTGAATATTCAGTTTCAACAGGAACGTGTGACTAGTTTTGCTTGTAGCGAAAGGGTCGCTTTGATCTACTCTGTGTCAAAAAAGTATATTTTAAAGGTCTGGTGTTTATAAATCTGCTATACATAAAGAGGTTTCTCTATAAATACAGAATTGGACTTTTGGCCCTTTTGCCTGACTCTGCTATTTACTGTGTTTTCTCCAGCAACCTCTATAGCGACTGGTACTCTTTGACCAGTAGTTTGCTTTCACAGGTGCTTCTTTCTCGGCGAAGTCTTTACTTAACTCATTCTCTTCCACTGGAAGCTGGGGGTGGGAGTAATTTTATTCAGTTACACTTACAGTTTTGATTTTACATCCTTTGCACATACTCTGTGCCCTTGCTACTTTATTTCCTCTGAAAGTTTCGCTTTTTATAGCTATCTATTCTAACTCATGTTCCTTTGAATTCAGTTCCCTGACTACTTCCTTTTCAGCTGTACTTGAAAGTGCTTGAAGGTTCAAGTCTTTTCTTTTTATTCTTTTTTTGTATTCATTCATCTCTTTAGAATTCCACTCATCTCAAAGTAGGTCTTGGTTATGATTCTGTAAGTCAGGAAATACAGTTAATAAATCCTTGTTTTATTTCTGTAAAAAATGAGTGGTTTAACATTGCAAATTATTAAATACCTAAAGTATATTTCTTTCATTAAAAAACCCATGCTTTTCACTTTGAATCTTGATTTATATTGTTATATTTATTATTCATAGAAAGGTATGTTTGTAACGCCATTTCCTAAGCAGTACTGAACTACATGATCTAACTTCGCATCAAAGCACTATAGATTTACATATAGTAAATTAAAAAAATAAATAATACCTTCCTATAGTTTTTCTTCTGTATTTTTAGGTAATGCTGATCCATGTCTTTTATTTGCCGTACAATCCCTTTCCATTTTTCTTGATCCTGCTGTTTAACTGCTGGAAACATGTCAGTAAATTCTGGCTGGCTGATCTTTCTTACTAAAAACAAGGTAATTGTAAGTGCCTGCTTTTCTTCCAGTATAAAATAAAAAGGAATTGGAGATATTCTTGAACTTGTCGATAATATATTCTTTGAAGATAAAGCATTTACCACAAGAACTGTTATACTTTTACTTTTGATGCCGTATGAGAAGAAAAAAACATATGTGGGATTATATCTTCAAATAGCAAAAGGAATATGTTTGGCTTGTTTTGAGTTTTAATTATATTTTATTTACTTATATCAGTTTATCCTTAATTCTACCTGCCTGGATTTTCAGTCTGCTTGGACGAACTTGGTCTTTCTTTCCAAACTTCTATTTTTTTAGGGGAGAAACACCTTTTTACCTTTAAACAAATGCTGCTGAAAGTGAGGTAATACTAATACTGGCTTAGAACCAGCTGTCATTTATCTTTTGTTATCAGTCTTTGCCTAATATTATCTTTGGCACTTCTGATTGATTTAGTGTCTGACCCATTCTACAGTGATGTTTTATACATCTTTGCATTAATTCTGCTCTTCCAAATATTACAGCTGTGGTCTTCTCATAAGTAAAGACTGGCATCCTGCTCAGTTATTTACAACTTCATATCTCATTGCCACCTTCAAAAATGCAAAAATTCCTTGACCTTGAAAGTATTTAATTTTGCTGATGGAAAAGGTGAACAGGATCTGGTACTCTTTCATTTCTGATATTCAGCTCCTGTAGAATTTCTTGTGCGCCATTATAGGTGGAGGTGAGATTTATTTTGAGTGACAGAAATTCTGGCTATACAGGCATCCTATTCCTGTCTCTTAAAGGTAGCAGAATTGCGAGGCAATGTCAGGTTTAAAAAGCAGATTCTGCACAGCACCTCTGTGAATAGTTTTAGGTAAAAAGATATGCTGGCTTTTTCCCTGCTGTAGTTCTCCATAACACTCAGCAAAGTTTGGTTATAGAAAATGGATTTGGTTGTTTTCTTGTGAGATCTTCAAGGCAGCAGTTTTAATGAAATTGTTTTCAGTGTGCTTTGCCAAGATATTTGTAAAGCTTATAGATTTCTAGAGATAGAAATGTAGGACTTCATTACTCTCAGAAATCCACTCTTCCTTTCTTGGACACTTCATACCAGTAGAGCATTTTACAATTAAGGGGTTTTTTTCTGTTTGTTTGTTTTTTTGGTCTTTTTTAATGAAAGTGGAGTTTAGAAGATGACTAACAGTAATGATTTTCTGACAGTAATTTAGTTTAATTTTTAATTACGTTTTTTTGTCTTCTTGCTCAGGACATTTTTTCTTTCACACTGTAAATTCCATACACTCATTCTGCTTTCAAATCCTGGTGAGATCAGTTTACTAAACATTATTGGTTAACTGCAAAAATATCTAAATATCTATCTCCATTCACAGCCAAAATTTCTGAAAATACTTGTGAAATATTTAAATAAAATATTTAAATAATTGAAAATACTTTATTGTATTTAAAATGTTGTAACAATTAAAGTAGTGCCTCTGTTCTGTTGACCACTTCTTACACAGCTACTGTAAGGTGTGGTTGGTATATTTTTAAGTTTACTCAGAATTCAAGGCTCAGAACAGAAGAAAATTTCTGTTGTTGAAATACAGCAATTAATCCCATAATATTTAGTAATCAACTGTAATCACGCCAGACACCTTCCTTGGTCATATTTCTAGTGATAGAAGGTAAATGCATTGCACATGGTTTTGTGCAGTTCTTTCTCCTTTACTAGCGGTTGTTGGTTAGAAAGACTTTCACACAGTAGTTCTAGGCTATTTTCATTACATAGTGCCCAGTACGCCATCTTCAGAGAAGAAAAGTAAACGTTTACAGGCACATGGATATTGTTTAAAAAACAAAAAAGCTAAAGTTTATGTAAGTGGAAGACAAAAATAAAGGCATTGGACAAATCAGTAAACAAAACTAGAAATTATGATAGGGTTCAGGGGAAAAAAAAAAGACGACAAACTTTTGAATGCCTAAGAAAATAGGTAGGTTATCACTACCTATTGAATGTAAATTGGGTGGTATAAATGACTGTTATGTGTTCAGTCCTTGTGTCTGAGAGTTAAGAGAAATACTGACTTTATAGTGCTGTTCACTATGTCAGTTTCTTGAGTTTTCTGTTATTTTAAAAAAAAGAACTTGCTGTAATCAGCTATCTATTAATTTTTTCATTCTCCTTAAAAAATAATTGCAATTAAAAATGGATTGTGTAAATATTAGTCTTTTTTTTTCAAATAATTTCAGTGAACATTTGTCAGAACCCTATTTTTTGGGGAATTTTTCGATGAAAAATCTTGGTCATGCAATTCAAAATGTGGAATTATCATATGCAACTTGGACCTAGTTAGAGAAATTAAAATTCAATAGAGAATCAATTCAGTTTTAGGAAATAGTTGCTTATTTTCTTTGCCTTGATTTTAAGTGCCCAGTAGGAGATACATGAGCATCCATTACCAACACTAAAACCAAAGGACATTCCAGACAAGTCTCTTTAATTTCTTTGAGAATGAAAATTTTCAATGAGAAAGGTCTGATGGAAGGGAACTCTGAAGCTGTCAGATATTGAGATTCAGTCTAGCAACTTCAGGTGCTAGACTTATTTCAAAACTTTAGAAAGCTTGGCATCTCAATTTAAGTAATTAAAATGGGCATCCTGCAAAAAACAGTAGACACTTCTAAAATGGGCTTTTGTCAAAGTAACCTATTATACACTTTTCCTTATCTGTAAAACAATTCATCTCCAAAGCGTTGAGATGACCATTGAGGGAAGTCAGTGCTGAAATTTTGGATCTATAAACGTTTTCAGATTTGTATGTGAAATTCATCTACTGATAAGCAGAAATCTAAAGTTTCACATGATGTCGGTCCAGATTTTGAAATAGAAATACAAACATAAATATGAAGAAACATTGATAGTTATTAATAAAGGATTCAATCAGATATTTTGTTCTAAAAATGTCAATTTGTGGTCATACATTTCAATGTGGTTTTATTTTCCAAAGTAATTGTACTGTATTTTATTTATGTATTTTAGGCACGGAAGGGGCAGTGTTTGGGCACTCTGTGGAGACACCCCATATCAGAGCAGAGCCTTCCCAAGACCTCAAGTAGGTGTTGTTCAAAAAGTTGTTTTAAAATCAAGTGTTCTCAAAAATAATTAAGTCTTAATTAAAAGCAAATATCTGTATAGTAATATATATTGCCTACTTAATGACTTGTACATATCCAAACCACTGGTAGACTCCAATTTGTTCTAACTAGTCAAAAAACCCTCCACAAATTTCTATCATACAAAATGTAAAATACATGACTTTTTATAAGGACTTACCTCCTGTACCAAAATCCTTGAGAAGTATATTTTCCCCAGAGACTGGAATAGTCAGGCATTTTTAAGGTCAATTGAGTACAGTACTGTTTAATAACATCAGACCCAGATTCTGATTTTTTTATGAGCTGTTACAGAATATGTAAGTCAAGTTGAAGTAAACAGTCTCAGATTTTTTCTTCAAGTTGTGTTTCTGGGTTATTGGGGTTTTTGAATACTAAACACACACACACTTCAGAAATTCATTACCGAGTAAAGCTACATCTGTAAATGTAAAAAATCCTAAGTTTTCTGTACATAGTCACAAAAGTGGAGAAATAAGTGAATAGTAAAAGATAAGTCTAAAACTTACTAAAGCATCTGTAGACTGAGAAAGAGAAAATTTAAAAAGGTTCATAGTGAAAGCTTTTTCTTGAAGTGTATGTATATGCACCACTAAATGCTAATCTGTAATTTATATGAATGACCAATGAGGATACATGACAATCACAGAAAATCAAATATCCTTCCTTGTTTCTCTCAGCAGAACTGTTGAGAAACAGTATAGATTTTGATTCAATTCTACTATGATTCCTAAACATTATGTATCTATCAATTTACTTGCCCAGCAGTGTTTACAATGAATTACTACAGAAAAGCATTGGTAAATGCCCTTCCCTATATTTGCAAAGGCATTTAGGATCACTGACCAGTAATGATGTTGCAGAAATCATGTACAAGAAGCTGTCCGTGTGGACAAGTCTGACCATTGCATGTGGGGTGTAAGAAGTAAATGATTTTGTTTGGTTATTTACACTAAACTTTTTAAGGTAATACAATGGTTTGGGGTCTTCCAGAGGATCCTAGTCCTTAGATTTTTATCTTAAAAGTCCCTATCCCCTGCCAAGACTGCAGTTAGTCCTTTGTTGAGAGTAGTTGTAAAGGCGCTTATTAGCGATAACCACCAAGGTGGTATGGTCTCTAATCAAAGGCAGTTCAGCAGAAATCAAAGTGGAAACATAACAAGCTTCTATTTTTTCAGGGGCCTAAAAGTTTGAGTAAGAGTGTGGAATTTGTTCTACTCAAAAGAATGTGCAGACGCTGCTTTGTCTACTTCTTTCTAATAATTAAATAATAATAACAGAGTGCAAATGTATGGTAAAACAGATAAAGCTGTGTCTTCAGGATTAATTTCACTACAGTTAAAATCACCTCATGTTGCTTGTGAAACTTACATGCTGGGCATTCACCTCCCCTATCTTTTGGTTTTATTCATTGCCATGATGCTCATTGTTGCTTAATATTTTCCAACTCCACCATTCTTTCAGCTCATTTTTCCAAAATGGAGTTCAATTAGTGTGAATTTTCCATTCAACTTTCTGCTGTCTCATTAATAATGAATTTAACCCAAACTTTTTCTTAAAAAAATTGATGAAATGGAAACTCTTGCTGTTTGGTCAAGCAGCATTGCCTTCTGTGTAAGTGATTTTATCCCTAGTATGTTCAGTCTATATTGTGTCCTGCAGGTTTTTCTACACATGTACTTCTATATATTAGTTAGGAATCAGTGATACTCTTTTATTAAAACTCTCAAGTCATTTTAATCTTTTTAAAATTATGATAATTACTATTAGGACAGAGATTTCTTGGCTTTTGGCATGAATCTTTCTGGAAGGTAACTGCAGACCCTTATTAACCTTGTAGCTTGAAAGAACTTCAAAATTCCAGTTGCCATATGCCTTTTAATCTTATTTCAAATTATTTTAAAAAAACAAAACAAACTATGGGGTTTTTTTGTTTGTTTGTTTTTAAGTTCAAGCTCTGCGTTCATTTTGCCAAAAAATAAATCGGCTTTTTTTTTGCTAATTTAAAAAATGTTGTCAGAAAGAGGTGATTTATCATTTAGATGATTGTTTGCCAAATACACCCAAACAAATAGGTCACCAATCCTAATATGGCATTTCCCTGTGGCCTCAGAAGCTACCTCTGTCACAGAAACAAAACCATACCAGAACCCATTTTCTGGCCTCAGGTCCAACTGATACAACTACATTGATATCGTAAAATAATTTTGTCCTCTAAACCAGAATAATTGCATCCTAAATGCCAAGTGGGTATGGTCTTTGACTCATGCTGCCCTGCAAATAGTGCCTGCAAATTGTTTGGGGAGAGTCGTAACTGACTCTCAAATATGCGAGTGACTATTTAGCTGTATAGATGATTGAGTTCTAGTGGTCTGGCCTGGGTCCCAGCACTTTTTAACATTTTAGTATAAACTTAGCCAAAGTGTCCAGTAGACCATACTGGCAGTCCTAAAATGATGTACAGTATTTTTCTGGATGCCACATCCCTGTGCCTTGGGACTTTTGAAATTAACAGGGAGAGTAGAGAGTTTGCTGAGTTGACATTAAAGTTCATTTTTTCAGTGGACACAGATGATTGCAGTTTTACAACAAGTTGCAAAATAAATACAAATATATTAGGCTATGAGAATACTTGTATACAGTGCTGAAAGATAAAAGAATTTACATTAGATTGTTAATTACAATAGAAATGATCCCATATTTTTCGTGTTGGAATATGTATTTGTGGTCAAGTAGTATAGCTCAGACATCAAGATAATATTTAAACAGGTCCCCCCCCCCCCCCCCAACCCCCCCCCCCAAAAAAAAAAAAAGATGCTGGAAAACTATTCATAACCTTGGATATGTAAAACAATTCACTACTGGATTTAAAAAATGGAGTTCTGACCACCTTGATTACTGGGAATGAAACTGAACTATAAAATCTGCAATCTGCACTAAGATTTTGATACCCACAAGGCTCATAGTGTTTGCCCCAAATGTCCTGGGATTTTAGCTCAATCTATTCTGGACAGGAAGGCAAAAGAAAAAAGTCAGATTCATATTAGCTTCACATATCTAAACTTTGCCTCAGCCACTCTTTGTTCTGTAGACAGATTTTGAGGTCTTCAGACAAAGAAACATCTGTAATATTTGCTATTAAAAATGTATTGTGTAAAAATAAAATTCAGTTGAGATTTAAAAGAATTCTTTCCTATGTGCCCAACCACTTTGGTCACATCTTTCTTCTGTCTTACATTTTCAAATAATAGCTAGTGAGGTTTTCTTTCAGAAAATATTTTTCTACAATCCTTTGTGAAAGCTGGTAAACCCTTTTTGTGTCAAATCCCCAAAACTAATTAAATCTGACTTTCATTAGCTGGGATAAGCAGCAAAAAAGAATCATGCCTTAGAATCAGAAAAAAGAATTATATCTTAATAATTTAATCTTCATATTTCTCTTGCTACTTTTTCTCACAGGAACACAGTTAGGAAAACTAAACTGCCAATATAATAGGTCCCCAAATATTGGGTTTGAGCTAATAGTGCATTAAAACATGGTGCACTAATAGGTAATATCCATGCACAAAAGAGACAAACAGTAGTTAAATGCAGATAACTGCCCTCAATAACTTCCTTAATAAGGGGGTAAATTAATTTGTTGTTGTTCTCTGGGGATAACTGCAAGATCAAATTTAATATGTTTTTTTCTCTTCTCTGTTAAGCCTCACATACCATTGACTATCAGCTAATGCTGCATGCTAGTGCTGGGCATAATGAGATGAAAATTGATGAAGAAGCAAGGAACCACCCAAGCTAGTGGGATCCTACTTTACCTCTGATAAGAATTAAAAATACACAGATCTTGCACAAGAGTTCTGTTTCATTCAGAGTTGCCTGATGGTTGGTAAGAGCCATCTTTTGTGGCATTTATGGGCTGGTTTACCATTAGGGCAAAAGATCTATTCTATAAAAAGCCTGGAGTGAGAATAGGCATCAGAAAGGAATTATGACATTAACTTATTAGTCATCTGAGCAGGGTGAGAGTAACAAAAACACTGGGACTCTGTTCATCTGTTTTACCCAGAAATGAAATAATAAACCAAACCTCATCAAAAGGGAGAAGATGCAGTAGAGTGAAAAAAACCAGCTTCCTTCCTATGCTTTTTTAATGATGTCAGGTTCTAGGTACTTTCTCAGTATTCTTTTTTAATATAGTGGAAATATTTAGTATTTACATTTTCAGAATTTGTGTTTGGTGTTTAAATAGTTATCTCAGTGTTTGGGCACGTGTGTTGACAGAAACTTGTTTGCTTAGTCTTATCCCTAGCTGTTGAAAATATTATTTTTTTTTAAAACTTACATGTTCATACAAAAATAGAGATGAGTGTAGTAAAAATTTGAAAAATTGCCAAAAGTCAAGCTTCTTTTTTTCATATATAT